ATAAAAACCCTATATCCCAAGCGCTTCCGAAAAATGGACCTTCCTTCTTCAGGAGCAAACTGGGAGTGTTGTTATGTTACCCTGTCTATTCCTACCTTGTTTCCTTACTTTTTGTTTTCCCATTCCTTCTTCCTAACTTTTTTATTTAAAACTTTTTACAGTAGTGTATCTTCTGCTTCACTTGAATTTATATTTTCAATAAACTTGTAGTGTATTTAGGCTTTAACTTTGTTGTGTAAACGTACTAAACAAAAACACGACCAGAATCATAAATAATAAACATATCACAGCTCCAAATAATAAATATTAATTAACATTTGTTATATGTTTTTTGTAATTTACCAGATCGTACAAAGACAAAAAACGAGTGAATTTTAAGGTATTCAAAATATTTTTTTCTTGGCATAATTGATCTACAACATCAACATAAGCAAACATTTTTACAAAGAGATTAGGTAAGTTTGTTTGTTTGAAGCTAAGCACAAAGCTTCACAATGGGCTATCTGCGCTCTGCCCACCACGGGTATCGAAAGCTGGTTTCTAGTGTTGCAAGTCCGCAGACATACCGCTGTGCCACTGGGGCGACTAGGTAAGTAAATTATTAATTTTAAATTCAATCACTAAATAGCTTCGCATTTGTTGTTTAGGAATGTTCGGAATTTAAAACTCGTATTTTCCATTTAGTGGCTAACATGAGATCAGATAAAGACATCGTAGTACGAGAAGGCATTCGCAAAATAATTCAATGAATTGAAACAAAACAACAAAACAAGACCTTTTACCTGATAGCTCTTGCGTTGTTGTTACTGTACATTATTTGCTAAGTGTAATATTTTCTGAACATTTCTTGTAACCTCAGTGAGGAGTAAGTATATTACGGATTTGTATCCATATATTATTGACATAAGCCATATGTGTTTCTTACCTAATGAAATGCTACTCAACATGAGTTAATTATCAAAAACTTAAGATGAAAAACTAGCCACCTCTATAAGTCAGGAATAGAAAAATTACTAATTAAATATATTTTCATAATTTTGGTTTAATTTCGTTTAAGTTAAGCACAAAGTTAGACAATGGGATATCTGTTCTCTGCCCACCACAGGTATCGAAAATTGGTTTCTAGCGTTGTAAGACAGCAGATATACCGCTGTACCACTGGGAGCTTTTTCATAATAAAGTGATCATAAATACACTATGTCATAAATCAATACATAAAGACTAAACCTTCAATTATTAGAATGTATTGTTTCATCATTAGGGTATTTTACAATAAACCTAACAATATTATCTCAAAGTTAATAATGCAAATATATAAATATATATATATATACCAGTTTGGACTCCAATTTTGATTTCATTCCTTTAACTCGTTCGCTCAATCCTTTTTTGACCGCACTATTTTTTTTCACAACTAAGATATTTTTTACCAGGTATCATGACTTTTGTCAATACACACCAATAAAACACAGCAAGTAAGAAAGTGACACTCGATAATAACCAACATTAGCTTTAGGGTCGCAACCCTATTATTTGGAACAGACCTATACTTTACAGAATCAACCAGATTCTTTACATCACATGGTGGTAATTTTCCTCACTAAAACAGTGTTAATAACTTCCTTTATAGTAACGCTATGGAATCTAGATCAACAGTTTCTTGTCGTCATCCGCATGCACCCGGTACAGCATCATAATTTACACTGATTGCTTAAGCTAATATCACGTGACACTAAATTTCTTTAATTAGGAAAATTTCATAAAATTTAGCAAATTTATGCTTAAAAGTTGGCAATGAATAATAAATAATAACCATCCACCCGTATGATTGTTTTGAAAACTTGAGCTAGAAACTGCTAATCTAGCTTTCACCCTAAAGTTTGTTGGTTTAAATCAGTCATCTTTAATCCGAATGACAAAAAAGTAAAACGGTTCACTTTTACTCTTTGATGAAACTGTAGTGAAAAATTCAGACCGATAGCTCACGTGACTTGTTGTGTAGACGTGCGCAAAAAATTTGTCAACTTTGAGCGGTTTTGGTTGAATAACTTTCCACAAGAGGCTTATCTTTAGACCAAATTTGACATCTGACTGTAGGTTGTGAAGATTTATCAGTCTACCAAACTTGGACAAAAAATCCATAAGGTTAAGTATGTTTTTCTATCAAATATAGTTTCCGTACTTTCGGTGCAAAGAAAAAAATAGGAAAATTCAATCAAAATTGGAAATTTTATATCTCGTGTATTTCTTAATGGATTGCCTTTAAATTTGGTATGTGAAATAAGGGTCCAGTAGAACATATACACTGAAAATATGTGATAGTTTGGATTAGCACAGTCCAAGCTAAAGAAGATAAAAAATCCTTCCTGTTTTAATAACACACAGTATGTCCTGTAGGTTGTTTTGGCCCCACGAAACACTACCGTGTGTCTTGATATTGAAAGGACAGTATAATGACTCACTATTTAAAAACAAATATACTCAACAAAAAATGTAAAAGATACTAAAATGAATTTGGTAACTAAATATGTAATATAAATTAGTCATTAAACAGCTTATTTTTACATTAATTTAGCTTATGATTTTGATGATTTCCATCATTTTGTCAAAACGTTGTTCTTTCATTGGTGGGTTCTTTTAAATTATTTGGTGAAAATAACAGGAATTCTAGTCCACGTAAAGATAACAAGTTAATTTATTTCTTCCCTAACCTACAAGCTATTGTAACTTAAAAAGAGTCGTACTTGCAGGCCTAAGTTAAATAATGTTTTCACTTTCAAATTCAACAGAAATTTGCCCACTAATGGTACTATGACTACAAATAAACTAACTTGTAACATTTCTCAGCTAATTGATCGAGTAACTGAACATACCAATAACTAACATTTATCCCAATTTCTTCACTGAAATAGAGTACTTCAGTGATAAATGTCGAATAAATACATGAAATGCTTTATGTTGTTTCGACATTGCAAGCTACTGGAGATGATGGGATGGTTTGTGAATTCTCTCATAGGCGGCGTTGTGTCCTTATTTCTCTAAAAGGACAAACAGCATTCTACTTGTGCATGCATTTCAACCCAGGTGGGCAAGGAATATTCTAAGATATAAAGCAATAATCTACCACACTTGTCTTTTCCGAACTTTTCCAAAAACATGACCGTAATTTTAATAAGTTTCCTTGAAAGTGCAATAACTATATCTTAATCATTTTATTTGACAGTGCAATAACTACAGTGTATATCTTAATAATTTTCCTTGACAGTGCAATAACTATATCTTAATAAGTTCCTTGACAGTGCAATAACTATAACTTAAAATTTTTCTTTGACAGTGCAATGACTATATCTCAATCTGATTTGATATTTTCGAGATGAGCTCCAACGTTGCACTCGCTACCATAAGTCCCCCGGTGGGACAGCCGAACATCTTTGAATTTATAACGCTAGAATCAGGGGTTCGATTCCCCTGGGTGGACACAGCAAATAGCCGGGTGTGGCTTTGTTATAAGAAAACACACGCACACTCACTAACCATAAACCTATCCTACATCTGTGAACCAGCTATAGATAGACTCTACTTCAACGAATTATCTATAAATGAACAAAACATCTTCCGGATTCTCGAACAAGCTATTATTGCAACGAAATTTGGGCTTAATAATTTGTCTAGTTAATAAATAGATATTTCTAATTACGTAATCTCGAATCTGTTACACTTGATTTTTCTATGCATTTAAACTATACTGAATTATCAGCAACTATTGATTTATAATCATCCTTTTTAAATGTACAATAAATTAAAATATTTCTTATTTTGTGCTACATAATTAGGTAAGTTGAAAATTAATACATGAGCAAACGACTGATTAGAATATTTTTCGAAAGACTCTTCTGTGAAGTAATCTGAAAATTTTTTGTCATTTTTAAAACCATTGTTTTTTGTCTCTGAATAAAAGGCAAGGCTCATTAAATATCTTGGCTCAGTTTGATGTAGTATTTTCGGCAAACTTTCCTATTTTTGTTTAAATCTAAACTATTCTAAAGTAAATTAGGGTTTTGCTATAAATGCAGAAAAAACTTGAGGTGAGAAAATCCAGTTCGTTCTATTTCTTTTGCTTTTATTCAATAAACGAAACATTGTTATAAATATAAATAATATATACATATATAATAAACTGAAAGTTTCACAGTGATTTAACATTGTATGAAATATTCATAAAATCTTAATTATATCTATTTAGAATTGAGAGAATTAAGAACTTTGAATTTTCTGTACACACAGGTTAGAACGTACCCAAGTGATTATTATGACGGACTGTGATTCCGAGAGTCTATGGTTCGGTTCGGTTGCCGCAAAATCGCACTCCACGCTTTAGGGTCATAGGTACGACATTAATAGTGACGGTTAAATCCGACTGTTCGGTCAAACATTGGTAGCCTACAGATTGGAGTTAGGTACTGTTAACTAGCTGCCTTCCCTCAAGTCAACCAATTCAAAATTAGAGACGGCTAGCGCAGCCAGCTCTTTTTTTAGTTTGGGCAAATAACCAAAGCCAGAAAAGACTCTAAAAAAGTAATTAAAACAACAACAATATTACAGCGTATTTTCCAGTGAAACAAATTTTCTTTCCGCGAGAGGGCGTGATACGATATTTTATAATTAACAATACAATCCAGTTAGGACAATTTCCTTTGAAATCGGTATATTAATAATGACAAGAAAAATATTCCATTCTGAAAACAAAACAAACATTTCCACAATATACTGATAAATACGTAACATATGTTCCACCACAACTACTTTGAAGAACAAAAACTTTAAACTTCTGTCGTCTACATTACGAGCTCTAAAATAAGCTCTCTCCGCATTTGTTCGCATACCGTACTAACAGGATGTTAAAGCCAAGAAAACAGGAAATTGATTATCTAAGAAAAGTTTTAACAAGTGTTTCTTATTTGACAGTTTACGATCGCAAGTACTCAGTTTATTATATCTTGACTCATTTGGGGAGAACAAGTAAGTGAAGATTTTAAGATTGTTTTTAATACATTTTTACCTCATGTATAGTATATTTTCTGTATAAGTAAAATAATGCAGGCTAGTTTTCTTTAATAATTGCAATTTGTTCTGTTGTTTTATTTTTTAAGCACAACTGTAATTCATTAAGGTGTGCTGCTTTAAATTAATTAGGAACTAATTTCAGCGGGCAACTGATAGCTTTACTCTTTGAATTGAAAACAACTAATCTAAACAATGAAGAGGCAACTAAAGCCGACATTAATTGGTTTCAACAGATAACTTATAGCTCTATACTCGTAGAGCCGATATTAATTGATTTCAACAGATAACTTATAGCTCTATACTCGTAGAGCCGATATTAATTGATTTCAACAGCAAACTAAGAGCTCTTCTCTTGGAGCCGACATTAATTTCAGCAATAAACTAAGGGTTCTTCTAGTTCTTCGCTTGGAAACGACATTAACTAGTTTCCACAGTGAAGTAACAGTTCGTCTCTTGGAACTGATATTAACTGGTTTCAACAGTAAACTAAGAGTTCGTCTCTTGGAACTGATATTAACTGGTTTCAACTGTAAACCAAGAATTCGTCTCTTGGAGCTGACATTAACTGGTTTCAACTGTAAACCAAGAATTCGTCTCTTGGAGCTGACATTAACTGGTTTCAACTGTAAACCAAGAATTCGTCTCTTGGAACTGATATCAACTGGTTTCAACAGTAATATCTTCTCTTAGAACCGAAATTAACTGTTTTCAACAGTAAAGTAAACGCTACACTAAATGCAGACAGTTATAAAATCTTGTTAACAGCATTATCTTCCTAGTGGTACTAAGAATTTTCTACATGCTGAGTATCCAGTTGTAAGCGTTGTTATATTTTTTTTCCTGTCCGGGCTTTAGCTTTATTGTCTTATAAATATTAAAAGTTTACCTATAGAGTAAATCTAAATGTATTTGAAATTGTTTTCGTGCATTAGTTTTGCATCTTTATTTATGTATTACATAAACGGTTTACCAGGATTTGATCTGTAACTTACTTTTTTCTTTCATTGCTAAATTGATTAAGGAATTGAAAAATTGTTATTATCATACTCAATAATAAAGTAAAAAATAAGGAATAGGTAGCAAGAAATAAAATCCTAGATTCGTGTGATTTCATTATAACTTTGTGACACCCGTTAAACCTCATGAGCTGACGGGAAGACATAAGTGAAATAAAGTGTTTATATCTCCTGTTAGGCCTAATTAGAAACTGTATCGCTTTTGTAAAACTTATTAGTGAAATTAAAGAAGTGTGTAATAATATGTAAAGCATGTTATATGAGGACTTATCAGGCCGGCTGGAATACAACAGAATTCTAGTGGTCGGGACGCTACTTATCATCACTTGCTTGAACAACAACTGTTTCGGTGTGAACTAGATTAAGTTGGTGAAACATAATTTTGTTACTTAAACAAAAATCCAGTTTTTCCTGGTGGCTTTTTGTTTAATTTTTAAAACAACGTTTTCGATCATGCTATAATTTGTATTTCGACAAAAAAAAAAACTCAGTGGCTCAGCGGAGTGTCTGAAGGCTTATTAACACTAAACACCGGGTTTCAAGCCCATTGTATTGCTTTATGCTTAACAACAAACAAATTCGATAAATATATTATCACACTATATTTTCATATATTCTTCTATTTATTAAATAAATTACGTATAAAATTAAATTTTCCTCGCGAGTAGGTCAACTGTAATATGAGATTAATGTGTTGTAAGATAACCGTAGAATAAACCATATAATTTTTATATCCACAATCAAAAATCAAGAATCATGTGTGACGTTTTTGTTGTTGTTTTTTGTGGGGGGGATACCAGGAGCATATAGATATTAACGTTTCTTTATAAATAAAAATATACTTCTAGATTTGTCTTAAATCTTCTAGTAAGATTGCCCTTTGGACAAAAGGCCGTGTGCAAATCTGCGGCGGCGTAAAAGGAAACAGACAATACGAATGATACTACATCATCACCCAACTCCTGAGATAACAACTTTCAATAAGTAAGTTGCTTTTTCTTCTTTTAGCCTTAACGAAAAATATTAGTTTAAATTAAAATTCTTTGAAAACAGGTTTTCTTTAATTTAAAAAAAGTTATAAAGATTTTAGGCAATTCCTGACAAATCTGAGGCCTTTTGAATATAAATTACAAAATTGCGATAATGAGTCGAAACTTTTTTACTGGTGGTTGAGCTGTTGGAGGCCTGATGGAATAAAGGTTTGTTTTGTTTGTAGTTAAGCACAAAGCTACACGATAGAATATCTGTAGTGTGCCCACCACGTGTATCGAAGCTCGATTTTTAGCGTTATACTCCCAAACATACCGCTGAGCTATGGGGAATGTGGAAATAAAGGTAATGTTAACATTATGTTATTAAATGTGAACGTGACGAACCTTATGTTTGTCATTAGATTAATGAAGAAAATATCCAGCAAGTTAAAAGTATTTTTGAAATTCCACTATTCTAATGTCAGAAATTACATACCTAAAATTACACCAACTGTGTTATAGAGCAATATATAAGTATGAATTATAGCAGATAAAAAATTTTACTGTTTCATAATGAGAAACTTCAAAAGACATAAATTAAGAAAAAATTAAATTTGAAACTGTTTTGATATTTGTTAAAATGCTTAAAGAATACGTTTTGGGGAGAAGAGTTAGCGTAAAGCTACACAATGGGCTATCCGCGCTTTGTTTACGGTGAAGAGTCATATCCCGGATTTTAGCACTGTAAGTCCGGAAACTTATCGCTAACCTACCGGGGGACCTTAAAGAATGTAAACTATATTATCAGTTCTAGCTTACATTTTGTTTAAAGATAGCTGAAACATGTTATGTGTTAAAAGACACTTTTTAATAATTATATAACAAAATACACTAAACATTCGACTTCGAAAATAGTGAGCCAATTTTCTTGAGAAAGAAATTTAAACATTATCTCCCTGTATAATAGGTATATTACACTCTTTATCGTTAAAGATAAATATGTAATAAACAATTAAATCGGATTATAACCAACTTAAACACAATTACGATACTATCCATTTTTTCCGAAATACAACTCCTTTCCATTACAGTCTAACAAAATCAATAAGTAAGATCGGGTGAGGATTATTTGTTTCTTTTTTGAATTTTCGCGAAAATCAACAAATTGGCTATCTGCACTAACCGTTTCTAATTTTGAACTGGTTGATTAGAGGAAAGGCAGCTAGTCAACAGCACCCACTGCATACTCTTGGGCTACTCTTTTCTGGCCGAATAGTGTGATTTGACCCTCGCTCTTATAGCGTGCACGTGGCTTCAAAGTTCGAGTGAGTTTTTGCAGCAATGGGAAACAAACCACAAACCCTCGGATTCACAGTCTGGTCACTCTAACGAATATACCACACACGGTCCAGAGTTACTGAAGACTTTAATTTACTAAAGTTTTCGACCAAAATGTTCGTTAATTTCCATGTTACTGCTTACTTCTACTTACCACATTATGGAAGGTTTTGTTTAATCAGTAACAAAGTAAAATACTTTCAATAGTGTATGTTATTTCTATTACTTACGCACCTTGTGTTATAACGAAGAAACTTGGGAAAAGTCAAAACATTCAAAATATCTATCTATCTATCTCGTTTCTAGTACTTTCTGGTGATGAGTTGATAAGTTCAAATGAAAATATTTTTATACCTACAATCTGGGAATCTCTAAGAAAAAAGTTTCATGAATCATTAGCTACGTACACTAGTTTATCAATTTGTACAACTACTGACTTTAGTAGCTAAAATCTTTGATCGTTAGAATTAGAACTTTTTAATGAGATTTTACTGATATATTTTACTTCTAGATGTTATTCAAAACTATAAAGAACCAAATGTTTGTCTTAAGATAATTTTATTTAGAATTCACCATGCAATATAATTTACTTTCTTACATTTTACAAATAACTTGGAATTCTGTAAATTCTGACACCTAAGTATTGTATATATATATATTTAATATAAAGTAAAAATTCTTGGAAAGATTATTTTAAAATATTAACTATGTATGTGTTCACCGGAACACATGTTCGTGCACATTTGTCTTAAGTTTTAAGATCAATTAAACGTTTTTATATCTTTATGTGTGAGTATGTGTGTGAACTTTACCTTCATTTGAACCGCCCCCAAGTGGCACAGCGGTATGTCTGCGGACTTACAACGTTAGAAACCGGGTTTCGATACCCGTGGTGGGCAGAGCACAGATAGCCCTTGTGTAGCTTTGTGCATGATTATAAACAAAACAAAATCATTTGAACTTTTGGTTCCATGTTTAAATCACATGATTTACTGACATTTGTGTACGTTGGTGACTAGCTCATCTTTCTTACCTTTGTATTTATGTAGGCATATGTAAGGAATTGTTACAGAAACTAGAAGTTGTTTAAACTGTAATCGGTAGGTTTAGCTCTTGTCATAACTCAATTTTATATGTTTATTAATGTAGAAACTTACTCCTTATTAAAACCTCACTAACTCAAGACTTATTATGTTTTTTTATTAGGGAGTAAACACATATTGCATTAAAACGAGTATAACAATTTCTATCCCAACAGAAGAAAAACTGAGCCTTTTCCACATATGTTATTACTATTTTTTTCTCTGAAATATAAAACAAGCTTCAGCATTCCTTAATAAATATGATTGTAAGAAATACGCGCTGAGCCCCGGGAGCTGGGTGATGTGTACATATTACAAACCTGGTGAAGAGCTCTTATTAAACATGCATAAAACACATGGTTTTAAAGAGTAGCTAAGAAGCTAACGCTTGAACCGAGAAAATTACATATGTATTTAATTATTACACCTGACTGATAAAGATTAACCTAACGCGTCTCGTATATTAAAAGAAGCAAAGCGTGTTAAGGCTAGGAGATAGCCTAAAGGTATTATCTTTATGTAGATTCTATACTTCTTTCTTACAATTTAAAAATGTTTCTTTATTGGTTAGATTTATCCAGGTGGCGAGGCTCAGCGGTATGTCTGAGGGCTTTATGATGTTAAAATAGGGTTTCGATACCCGCGGTGAGAAGAGCACAGATAGCCCATTGTGTAGCTTTGCGCTTGAAAACAAACAGGCTGTTTGATACTGCTCCGGTACATTATCAGAGAACTAACGGTTGTTACATCATTAAAGTACAGTAATAATATATATATATATATATAATTACTCCATATATATATCTTACAACCAAATAAACAGGATGTAAGCAAACATGGTATATGGTGTAATTAAGCCTTATTATATATATATATATATATATATATATACATTTTCTTTGTCGAAATGTCTTTGAATAGCTTGATTAAATATATTGAGTTAGTTTTTTTATTTTTAGGTTATTTTCTTCGTTGGTCATTCAGAAATTCTTCACTCTCGAGGGAGAACTGGCTGGTTTAATGGAACGTGTTTCACTGTAAGACAAAATACTAACAAAAGCAGAGTGCTAACTGGACGATGAAAATATTCTGGTGTTTACTATTTTGGTAAATTAAAATTTAGTCAATGATCAAACAGGAAACTGTAATAATAGCTATATTTTCCAAATTCTGAATATCAACTATTATTAATATATTTAGCGTTCACTAGCTCAGTAGTTAACATTTGTTGGTAAAAACAGTCTTACTACAGAATGGGAAGATATACAGGGAAGAAGTGTCGATTGATCAGCATGTTTTCAATGACTAGCAGCTTTTTTCTAGTGGAAATAATCGTCGGTTACGTCACGAATTCTACAGCTTTAGTAGCCGATTCCTTCCACATGCTCTCTGACGTTCTAGCCCTAGTCATAGCTTTTGTGTCTATAAGGGTGAGTGAAAATAAATTAGGGAAGAAACAACGTAAGTTTCTAAGAAAAAATAAAGTCAGTTTTTAAGATGTTACGTTAAAATTTTACAACTTAATGATGAATTCGAAATTTGGCCAATGAATTGGTGTTAGTTGAAACAGAAGCCCGTGATCTTTATATCAGAAAGACTACAAAACAAAATGTTGTGATGGTTTCTAATTCTTTTCCGATGTTAGTAAATATTCATTTTACTTATTGCGTGTAGATCTATTGAATATATAAGTCATAAACTCCAAACAAAAAAGAAGAAGAAGAAGCTTACTGTACTAAATAATTGTAATTTTCTCAACCATGAAACCAAACTGGTCATGAATATTCGACGATTTCATTGAATCAAACTAAACAAAATCAGCTTAATTTGATCTAATTACATGTGGGAATATCAGCTCAATTTATTCTAAATTAGACAGCATGTGAGAATGTGAGCTTAGTGTGATCAAACTACATGACGAAATATGAGCTAAATTTAACGTAAACTAAACTATACTTAGGAATATGAGCTTGGTGTAATCCAGTCACATGTGGGAATATAAAGCTAATGTAATCTAGCCACATGTGAGAATATGAGCTAAGCGGAACCTAAACTAAACCGTACAAGAAAATATTAGCTTAGTGTAATTTAGCTACATGTTGGAATATGACCTCAGTGTATTCTAGCCACTCTGTACTACTAACTGGTACAGTTGACCTCCTGTTTCCTTTCAAATGATTGAACTTGAACTCATGGATTTCCACCATCATATTAAACTTGGAAACTGATATTTTATACTGAAGTGTTCACTGATATAATACTCTTTTCATTAAAAAAGTGAAGGTTTATCCTAAAACGACATTATGCTGACCCCAAAACTTTTGATCTAAACATTCAGTGGTCAGAAAAAAAGTCATTACAAGTGAAGGAAAGATATCTAGTTAATAAAATAGTATCCATACGTAGTCTGCCAAATTTAACTTTCAAAACTATAGCACTTCTATTAGCCCTCCTGAACGTCATATGAGTAAAACGATATTTCAAACATTAAATAACCCAGATTTTAATATTGGTTCCTCGAGCTACTGAGATAATTGGAATCCGTAATCATCTGTCTTTCTCGATGTTGAAACTAACGTGAAAATCTCCTTCAAGCCATATACGGTGTGTACTTGAGAAAGTTGATCATCGAGTAACTGAATTACATACTACATAGGCTGAAGTATCACTTTAAGAAACATGTTAGGTAAAACCCGGGCATTATTTCGGTGACATCCAGATGGCTCCAAGAAACTCGGGGAAATTTTTGAAATCACATTAGTTTATCATTTCAGTTATGGAATCCAATTAAAACACCAAAAATCGGACCTAAAAACCTCACTTCTTTTAATTTTTTAAAGTTAAAAAAATAACATTTCTTTAACTATAGCATAGCTCTTTTAATAAATATATATATATATATATATATATATAAACTTGAGTTTTCAGTTTAAGGTTAACAAGGAATAATGTAATTCTTGTTAACCTTAAACCGTTTTTGTAATACATTATTTTCTTTTTAGAGTGTTTTTCGAAACTCGTATCATTCTACATTTAGATGTCTCCTAAGAAGTGGACTAAGAATACATTTGGTTGGGCCAGGGCTGAAGTTTTAGGTGCTTTAGTGAATGCTGTTTTCCTCATCGCTCTCTGCTTTTCCATTTTTATGGAAGCGTTGAAACGTTTCTTTGAACCCGAAGAAATTCACGATCCTGTCTTGATTCTTTATGTAGGTGGCGCTGGTTTATTTGTTAACGTTATCGGATTGTTCCTGTTTCACGGTGAGTTTGTTTGTAGTTTTAACCATTGAATTCCTTTACAGAACTTTGTTTCTATCGCTTTTCTCGGTGAATATATTCCTGAACTCTCTCTGAATTCATCAGATATTAGATCATACATTATATTCTAATGAAATTATTGGAGAGAGGATTAATTTTGAATTTACAAGAGCTCTGAGACTGTTGTTGATTTTACATTGATAATCTAATATATGATGAATTCAATCAAGGTTGCTTATTTGACATTGGTGATATAATACGTGATGACTTCACTCAAACTGTTGCTGATCTTACATAGAACCTTCAAAACAGTTACCAAAACACAAGTACATTTTAATGATGCGTTATCTTTGAAAAAGCATTAGCTGAGGAGATGTTTTAACCCTCTATCATATTATTGTAAATAGTGTCGAATTATTCATTAAAATTATTGAAAATTGTGATTATATTATATATTCGTATTTCTAGAACACGGTCATAGTCATGGTGGTCATTCCCATAGTGGACATTCCCATGATGATAATTCCAGAAGCAAGAAGGGAACTCGGGAAGACAGTGGGGCAGGAAACGAAGGGATCTTTAATGTGGATAGCAAAGTTCAAACATCTTTTGAGGGAGATCATCAAATTCCAAAGAAAAAACCAGGTACGCAAAACAACTAGTTCCAAAGAAAACCAAAACAGGCATGCCACTGATATCTTTCGCTTGAACCAAAAGCGCTGGAATAACATCTTAGCCTTTAAACATTTTTTAAAAATAGCGACAACCGAAACATAAGTCTTTGTTTGTTTTGTATTTCATGTAGGTCTTATTGTGTGTTTCATTCAATATAGCAAATTATACATATCTTAATACGTTTCAAAAGAAACGAACTGTTATTGATTTTTGCTTTCCCATGCTTGTCATTTGACACACCTGATTGCTATATTAAAAAAAAATTGTACATGTTCATGCAAAGTTGAAAAAGATAGGTAGACAAACAGGTTGATTTAGTTTATTTTTATGATATTTTAAAACAATACCACTAAATATTTTTATTAACAGTATTTGGTGGGACAGCCTCGGAAATTCGTTCTTCACACCAAATTCAAATTTGAATTAACGTTAAAAGAAATTGCTAAAATTTTATTGTGTTTTTTATTTATTATTTTATCATATTTTTTAACATTGTGCTTAACTTTATCATTGAAGATCTTTTATAACTTACTTGTAGGCAAATCATGTTCTGCCAAATAGTGCAGAAGCATAACCACAAACAAGTTCACGAAACATATTTATTAAGTTTAATAAGGAATATGGCGAAAATAAAAACATGAATTTTTTAGACAAATATTTACATAAATAACGGGATACATTCCTTATAATGCCCCTCAGTAAGCACAGCGGTATGTCTGGCCGTGGTGAGCAGAGCACAGATAGCTCTTTGTGTAGCTTTGTGCTTAATTACAAACAAACATTCCTTATGAAACGTACAATTAATATTTGTTTTTCTCAATTCTTGAATTTTGGAGTTTCACCAAGTACTGATGGTTTCAAATATTCATTACATAAATGTATCTCGTATGTAATCGTAACACCAAATTCACTGTTTAAATAACAATATAATACTGAAAATAGAATCAAAGTCAGTTTTTAAAGTATCACTTTCTTCTTTTTTTAACAGATAGTAGTACGCAGATGAATATGAAAGGTGTCTTTCTTCATGTACTGGCTGATGCATTAGGCTCGGTGATTGTTATTATTAGTGCCTTGATTATTTGGCTGACTGAATGGAAATATCGCTTTTATGTTGATCCAGCACTGAGGTAAATTTTATCATCTTTATATTTTATCTTAAAGTTTGAAAATATTCAGAAATAACATATATTATGGTTCCGAAAACCATTAGGAAATAAAGTTAGAGCTAACTTATAAAATGGCCTGGCATGGCATGGTGGTTAGAGCAGTGGACTCGTAATCTGCAGGTAGTGAGATCGAAACCCGTCGCAGAACATACTCGCCCGTTTGAGCCTTGGAGGCGTTACAATGTGACGGTCAATCTCACTATTCGTTGGTGAAGAGTAGCCCAAGAGTTGGCGATGGATGATGTCGACTAGCTGCTTTCCCTCTAGTCTATCACTTAAGAATTAGGGACGGCTAGTGCAGATGGCCGTGGAGCAGTTTTTCGCGAAATTCAACAACAACAAAACTTACGAAACGTTTCGTCAAACCAGATAAAACTGTATTATTGTGAAAACAAAAAAAAACATTCGAGTGCAAGTATTTGTAGTTGTTGACAAGATTAATGTTTTCGTCGTATATAGCATAAATGATCACTATAACTTTGAGTGGTTCATTCAAAATGATGAATTTAGATGTGTCGTGATAGTTTATGAACTATTTGCTAGAAAATAAGCGAGTGATACTGGAATTTTATGCAGCCTCGTTTATAAGATAAGGCAATTCTATTTCATATGCATATATATTTAGAAAATATTCCATGTAAAAACCTAGAGTTTAAAGTTTCTTTACATTACATGTTTTGTGTAACTTCGATTTAAAAATATTTCTTTTGATCTGACTTTAGTGATATGTTAGATAAACTTATGAAATATTAAATGACGTTTCCTCTTCGCTTATGATCTATTGTGTACATGTTCTGATCAAAAATTAACAATTACTTTTGTACTCTGATCTTTTATTACAGTGTGGTTATGGTGTGTCTGATTATGGCGTCAACGTGTCCTTTGTGTAAGTAAAATCTGATGTTTTTATCAGTTCAAAGTGCAACTGTAACTGTACACTTTTCTGTGATTTTATACCGACTGTAAGTGTAAAAAGCTTTAATCATATATATGTGTGTGTGTGTAATAGATAGATAGATAGACGAATAAATGATACGTGACGTTATCACGTATAACCTTACATGATTAAAAGTCACGTGTATATTTCAAGGAATCTTCTGAGGTTTGAGAAATTATTCCACATACAAACAGAATCGTGATATTGGTTGACTTTGTTTATCCCCCCCCCCCCCAAACTTTGAAATCAAAATTTGCATATAAAGAAAATAAAGAGGAACCTGCTTTAAATAAGCCATTTCTATGCTGTTTCGATACATATCGATGCGTGAGGAAGGCAACGAGATTATAATATATATCGTCAAATTCTAAAGGTTGGGTGATGTAGTTCCGTACATTGTTGTGATGTTTATTTATACTTATTTTGTCGTTGCATGGTGCTTGAGTGCGTGGAATCTGACGTAGGCTATAAAGGTAGATAAGATTAAACATGTGTAATATGTTTCTTGTTTTTTTGTATGTGTTTGACATTGTAATTGGTGTTACGGGATTACTACCCCAACACTGCGGATGGAGAATGGTAGATTAGTTTAGGACGTTGTGGGCTTAACTCGTCTTAACTGTTTTTCAGTTGAGTAAATACTTTTTTTCTTGCACTAAGATGAAACGGGATAACTCCAGCGTTTGTTTTTTTTTTTTACTGCTATTTCTGCGGCTGTATTCTTCCATATTTATACTTTATGCAGCTGCTTTAAAATCACAATAGTTTTTCGTTTATTCTTGCGCAGTTTCAG